CAGGAATGATTTGAAGTCAGAAAATTAACCTTCCCTTGTTTCCAAAGTCCATTGGTTGTTGTTCCCCCCTGGGGATCAACTCAACAATTTCCTCACAATTTTAGAAGAAGAGGAGGAGGAGATTGGATTTATCCCCCGCCCTTCACTACCCAAAGGAGTCTCAGAGCGGTTTACAGACTCCTTTCCCTTCCCCTCCCCACAACAGGCACCCTGTGAGGTAAGTGGGGCTGAGAGAGCTCTCTTGAGAACTGCTCCTGAGAAAGCAGCTCTGAGAGAACTTGTGACTGAACCAAGGTCACACCAGCAGCTGCATGTGGAGGAGTGGGGAATCAAACTTGGTTCTCCCAGATTAGAGTCCAAGCACTTAACCACTACACCAAACTGGCTCTTTAAAATAAGCACCATTAAGAACGTTTATCATCTGCACCACGGCAGTATTTGGACTGATAGTTGGCTCCACTTGCATTTTGCTTGGGTTCTGCATGCCTTGGATTCAATGCTCCCTGTAAGCTGTGGAGTCTTGTGAGCAAAAATTCTGCTTTGTGAGCTACTGGCTTTAAAGTTGTGAGTGAGCAGTTTGGCTGTCGCACAGGTTAATTTGCTCTGGAGCCTTCCTTCCTGAGCGAAGACAAAAATGTGTGAGCTGGAGGCTAAAAAATGGTGAGCTAGCTCACACGAACTCAGCTTAGAGGGAACACTGCTTGGATGACTTAAAACCACTCTTGTTCAGAGTATGTGCTCTTGGCGTGTCTGTTCAATCAGCAGCATTCTTCCATTGGTGGCAGTCATCAGGAGAGTGTGTACTCAGAACTCATAGAATCCAACTATAGTTCCAAGGGGGTAAATGTTTGTGACTGAAGAAATGCATGCTGGTGGTCAGGCAGGCAAAATGAGCAATGCTGGAATATGGCTTCCTCATGCCCCCTTCCCTGTATTCCGGACACCCATGACAACCAAGGGAAAATGGCTTTTCTGTAGGCTATGTTTTCCATTCCAACCAACGTTTTGGATGGCTGGGAGGACCGCCTACTCACTTATCAACTTGCCTGACCATTACGATCATCTTGGGAGGCCCGGCCTTAGGTGCCCCCTCCTTCTGAGATAAAGCAGGTGGCAACAGGGGACAGCGCCTTCTTGGTCATGGCACCAAAGTTCTGGAACTGTCTCCCCAGGGAGATTCATCTGTCTCTTTCTGTTGTCCTCTTCACCAGTGCTTTCAGACATTTTATTGTTTTGTCTTGGCATTCCGTCAATGCTCCCTCCTTCCTGACCAATGTTTTAACTGCAGTTTTTATGTTTTGTATGTATTTTAACTCTGTTTTGTATGATATTTTTAATGGTGTGTGTTCGAGTAGTGGTTAAGTGTGTGGACTCTAATCTGGGAGAACCGGGTTTGATTCCCCACTCCTCCACTTGCACCTGCTGGGTGACCTTGGGCAAGCCATAGTTCTGTCAGAGCTGTTCTCTCAAGGACAGTTCTGGAAAGAGCTCTCTCAGCCCCACCTACCTCACAGGGTGTCTGTTATGGGGAGGGGAAGGGAAAGGAGTTTGTAAGCCGCTCTAAGACTCCTTTGGGTAGTGAAGGGCAGGGTATAAATTCAATCTCTTCTTCTTCTTCTTCTTCTTCTTCTTCTTCTTCGAAGGTGATTTTAAGTAGTTTTAAGTAGTTTTAAAACGTGGGTTTATCATGCATGTTTTAAACCGTTAGCTGTCTTGGTAACCCTTTTAAGGACAGAAAGGCAGAATACAAATTTTGTAAATATGTAAACAACAACTGTGCCAAAGCGAAGCAAGAACATGCATGTTGGCAGCACTTGCTGTCTGAATCCAAACAATGCTCCTGCAGATGAACGGACACAGGATCCCAGGGACTGGTATAGAAAGAGAAGGCGCACACATAGCTTCCTCCCTTATCACTAGGTCTCTCTTATTCCCAGTTGTAAAAACAAGGGCCAAAGATAGAGGGGATGTGGAGAAAGCACAGTGAGGGCAGGCATGCACAAAGCACTTACAGTTCAATCCTGCATGTTTGAGGGGAAAAGAGGACACCAAAAATATGTTCATGAGTGCCACAAACAAAACTGTGATCAAATTGTGTTCCAATAGAGGCCTGATTGGGGAGGGTCCCAGCTCCTTCAACACAGCACTTCCTATTAATTTTTCCTACCCCTGAAATTATTAGATTGCAGCTATTTGCTGCATATTTTATTATAGAAGTACTTCTTAATGATGCATTTCTGCAATGAATAAGACAAACTCCTATTTGTCCTTTGCCATGTGTGTGGACCCTCTTGGGGAAAGACCCAAGCAAGAACCACCCTTATTTCTTTGTAATTCTTTTAATCAACATTTTTACAAAACATAAACGCAGACAGGTGTTCTTAACCTATAAGACTGGGGACTTCCTAGCATGTTTAAACACGTATTTAAAATGAGCCGGATGGGTGAAAACGGAAGGGGGAGAGTTCTGCCGACGCAGGTTTGTAGGACACTTTCCACGGGACGTCCGCCTCTCAGCTGCTTTGGGTGGCTTCTCGCCGCTCCCTCTTTGCTTGGCTGGTGGAGATATGGACAGCTTCCAAAGCAGAGGGGTGACGTGAGCCGCACCTCAGACTGAACTAATCTCCTGTTATCAGCAGAGCTGTCTCCGCTTTACATTCTCGATCCCACATTCAAGCTGGCCAGCGTCCAGAAAAGCTCTTCAGACATGATGAGAGCTTATCTCAGGTGTTCCTCACCCATCTCCCTTGTCTGCTCTTCTCTCCACCCCTACCCCGCCGACGTCCTTCTCTTGCTTTATACTGACCTAACATCTTCCTGGCATTTCACTTTATCTGCCAGGAAAAAAAAGGTGTTATGAGCACACTTCTTTCATTTTCTAACCGGCTGTGCCACCTCCGACCCCCATTCCCTCTCCAGCTCCTAAAATGAGGACCATAATGGGCTTTTAGTGCTATTAAGACTTACCAGCTTGGTGACAATTGCTTTTATAAGCTTTAATAGGTAAGAAGAAGGCAGTCATTTTGAAAAATCAGCTCACTCAGGATTGCAGGATAAGTCCATTAATGCAATAGTGTGGCTCCCTTTACCCAGATATCATTATTGTCACAGACCGAGGTTTCTCAACACAATGGCGTTGGTAAAATATCCATAAAACTCCACTAACTAATGGTCTCCTTTGTTTACGCTTGTGTGTTTCGAAGCAAAACATTCGTTTTAGGATGGTGGTACTGGGGGGAGGCATGGGGTTTTTTTAACAGCATTATCCAGCAGGTGACAGCAAATTGCATTCTGTTGCTAAGTGCGATTGATATCATCTGTTTGATTAGCACGTGTTGGTCTACAGAGGTTCATGGCAGGTGCATTACAAAAATTTGCCATCCTCTGCAGGAGGAGGTGGCTTTGATGTATTAAAGTGTGTGAGCTAATTTATGTGGCATGGCTAGGGGTGGGTGGGGGTTTAAATCAAAGCCTAAATGAGTCTAAGCCGCTTATAAACCAAAGATAAAGGGTTATTAATAGTTACTAATCTACTGCTAAATACCTAGAGAAACAACTTGTGAAATATGTATTTTTAAAGGCCTTTTCTCTGAAATGTGTTTTTTTGGACAGGTCAGAGCCTCAGAAAAAAAAAAATGTTATCAACCATAATCTGCCAGTATTCTGTATCTCATCTTTGAATAATGTTGGAAAATCATAATCTATTCAATTATAGACAGATTCTCTTTGTATCCACCCCCCCCCCAAGGAAAAGACAATATAGGGACGTCTGGCCTAAGTTTTCTTATTACCGACATATGATTTTGTACTGTGTTTTAACAGTGGTTTAATTTAACCTGGATTATTGTGCTTCTATTCTGTTATAAACTGCCCTGGGCCCTGCTTGCAGGGAAGGGCAGCCTAAAAGTCTAAACAAGAGGTAAATAAATGAACTCTTAGGAACCATTAGTAGGAACAAAGGCCACAGAATTCCGACAGCCAAGGTCACCCAGGAACTCCTGACAGCAGAAGAAGAGAAAAATGTGCCATGGAGTTGTAGCTGGCTCATGGAGACCCCCATCCATGGGATGTTCCAGGCAAGAGATGAGCAGAGGTGCGAGGGGGCATGGCTCAGTGGTAGAGCCTCTGTTTGCCATGCGGAAGTCCCAGGTTCAATCCCTGGTATCTCCAGTTAAACGATCTGGCAGTAGGTGATGTGAAGGACCTCTGCCTGAGACCCTGGAGAGCTGCGGCCAGTCTGAGCAGACTGATGTTGATAGATCAAGGGTTTGATCCAGTATAAGGCAATTTCATGTCTTCCTCTGCATAGCAGCCCTAGTCTTTATTGGTAGTCTTCCATCCAAGTATCAACCATAGCCGGGTTGGACCAGGTTAGTTCTTCGATGGGAGACCACCAAGGAAGTCTACAGTTGCTAGGCAGAGGCAGACAGTGTCAAACCACCTCTGTATGTCTCTTGCCCTAACCTGGATGTCCCAGGCTGCTCTAATGTTCTCAGAAGCTAAGTAGGGTAGGCACCGGTTAGTACTTGGATGGGAGATCACCAAGGCTTGGACCAGGATAGTTCTTCGATGGGAGACCACCAAGGAAGTCCACAGTTGGTATGCAGAGGCAGGCAAGGGCAAACCACCTCTGAATGGCCCAGGCTGGTCCGATGTTATCAGATCTCTGAAGCTAAGTAGTGATGGCCCTGGTTACCACTTGGATGAGAGACCACCAAGAAAGTCCAGGGTCGCTACACAGAGGCAGGCCATGGCAATTCACCTCTGAATGTCTCTTGCCTTAAGACATCAGAGAGCCAGTTTGGTGTAGTGGTTAGGAGTGTGGCCTCTAATCTGGGAGAACCTGGTTTGATTCCCCACTCCTTCACATGCAGCTGCTGCTGTGACGTTTGGTCAGTCACAAGTTCTCTCAGAGCTGTTCTCTCAAGGGCAATCCTCGAAAGAGCTCTCTCAGCCCCACCTGCCTCACAGGGTGTCTGTTGTGGGGAGGGGAAGGGATTGTAAGCCACTCTGAGACTCCTTCAGGTAGTGAAGGGCGAGGTATAAATCCAGTCTCTCCTTCTTCTAAGCCACTGAACGTTGCCCAAAATGAAATGCTGAGGTGAATTTAGAAGTTCCCTTTTCTGCGGAGGTCTGTATATCCTTAAACTTTCTTTACTTGGAAGTCCACGTAAGAAGAGGTGTTATTGTACATAATTACCTTGACTACCTGAGCTATTCAAAGCCCCAGCTGCCGGGTTTGAAAAAGAAGCCTGACATTTGTGCTGATTCACCAAAAGAAGTGCCAGCAATTGTACTCTTTTGTATGCTTCAATCTTCTGGCTGGGAAGATTTCTTAGCATCCCCTGATCTCCATCTTCTCCGGGCCTCTTCTTTCGACCCCTTTCATCAAAAACATTTATCTCCAAGGACTCCAGGTTAATCTTCTGATCCTAGTCCTGTACCGCAATCAGAATAACTTAGGCTAAATGCCATCAGAGGGCCTGCTCCTTTCTGCTTCTCTCTCGGGTGGTGTCGAGTTTCAACTGAATCCTATGGCTGACCTGTTGGAGCTCCAGCTGACCACAATCAGTTTCCTCTTGAGTTCAAATTGGAAGAGCATTTCTCTCCAGCCGGGACTATGACATGTCATCAACCTTCTGATTTCTGTCTAACAGCAAGAAAATACAGGCCATTGATTTCTGTAGAGCCAGTTCACTTACCTGCAACACTTTCTGAAGGCCAAGGCTTTAAGTTATAAAGGACACATGAACAGCTTTCAACAACATTATTAAAGACAGGTTAACTTCCACAGACCATGTCTGAAAACTAATGAATCTGAGGAAACAGAACACTGGCTGAGAACTTTAGACTGGGACCTTGAATTTGCAGCGGGATTCCCATGGACAATTTACAGTTGTATTAGAAATCACCACAGGACAACCCTGAGGCTGAGCATAAAATATACATTTTACAAACACTCATCGCAACAATCCAACACACAGCTAAAACGGGGTTAACAGGCCCAAACACCCGACTCTGTGTCGAATTGTGGCTGGAAAAGTGAATAATTAAAATGTTTACAATTTGGTTTTAGAAGATTATTGTCTGTTATGATATTTTGTATTTCAGTTTTAGTTTATTTTATAAACTAGAGTTGCTCATTGTTTTATATCAGGGATAACTACATTCTGTAGTCCTCTTAGGGAGCATTGTGGTAGAAGGGACAGAACTAACCAGATGACATCACAAATGGACCAAGTATGTAATAACACTGACATCACCTCACAATAAGCCAGTTTGGTGTAGTGGTTAAGAGTGCAGACTCTAATCTGGGAGAACCGGGTTTGATTCCCCACTCCTCCACTTGCAGCTGCTGGTGTGACCTTGGGTCAGTTACAAGTTCATTCAGAGCTGTTCTCTCAGGAGCAGTTCTCAAGAGAGCTCTCTCAGCCCCACCTACCTCACAGGGGGTCTGTTGTGGGAAGGGGAAGGGAAAGGGATTGTAAACCACTCTGAGACTCCTTCAGGTAGTGAAGGGCAGGGTATAAATCCAATCTCTCTCTCTCTCTCTCTCTCTCTCTCTCTCTCTCTCTCGCTCTCACACCATTTTGGAGTGAGGGGAGTGGATGAATGAATGCACTTCCTGAAACAGTCCCTCAGGAAGCAGACTGGCAACAGACCTTTGCAGAATATCCATGTGTTAGTAATAAAGGTAATTTCTGTGACCTACAAAGTTTCATTGGTCTTTTCCCCTGTAAAAGAGAAATGGTGAACATTTTTTTAAAAATCACACCTTGATTTAAAATATGACAGGACCAAATACTGAGGGCCAGATAAAATTACCTTAGAGCAATGGACCACATCACAGCAACCCCTCTCACGATACGGAGTTGCATCGATTTTCCTCGCAGTGGACCTTAGAGCAGATGTCCCCCGTCTTTTGAGTCTGTCTGTGGGCATATTTGTCATTCTGACACGGCATGATGGGCACAGCAACAAAATGGCTGCTGCAGGAGGTGGAGCCAGCCGCAGCGTGATTGCCACAGCTTAACTTCAGTGACACAGTGCAGATCCGTGTGCAGTGATGGCAGCTGCTGCCAAATCAACATTTTTTTTAAAAAAATCTGCACAGCCAATCAAATCTCCAGTGGCCAATCAGAAATCTTGCTGGGTAAAAGTCCTACCTGGCCCCACCCACTTCTTAAAGAAACACTTGGTGGGTGCCAGAAAAGATGCTGGCAGGCGTGATGGTGCCCACTGCCCAGGACCACCATGTTGGGGGTTCCTGCCTTAGAGGCTGGGCCCAGACTTTGCTAAAACAAAAGTTCCCTGTGTTTTTTAGATGGGAGCTATATAGCTTAAAATGAACAAAAGTATAGTTTGTTGCCGAAGCGAAAATATAATTTCGCCTGCAGTCTTTTGGTGTGGTGTGATGAGCTCAGAGAGAAGCATTTGTCTCAATCGTGAATGAAAAGATGTTAGCAAGCTCACTGGGACACTATCTGAATGAGGTGAGTTGGGAATGATTGTACTCTTTTTCTCTCAGTATGCCCAATATTGCAAGCACCATGGAAAACATTGTCTCAGAAGGCTTCAAGATGGCTCATTAAGTTCCTGATCCATTTCTGCACATACGCTACAGCTACCATGCTGACCTTTTAAAACGCAGACTGCAGATGGGCATTACCCCATTACTGTCATTGATACATAATCACCTTCCGCTGTTTTGAGGCTCAGACCCGGAAGGGAGTGGCGATCAGGTCTTTGTCCTATGACAAGCTTAGTGTGTGTACACACACACACACACACGGAAGCAAAACTCAAAACTTGAATTCGTACAGAATACCGAAGCCAGGATGTTGTTTGGAGTGTGTCGTAGGGGCTGTGTAACTCCTGTCCTGGCCCCATCTACACTGGCTCCTAACTTGCTTCCAGGCTCAGTTCAAGGCGCTCATCTTCAACGCCCTATCCGAAGGACCGCTTACTCCCTTATGAATCTGCCCAACCTCCACAGTCATCTTTGCCGGCTCTGCTTTGAGTGTCCCAACTACTGAGATCAGGCTGGTAGCAACTGAGGGAAGTGAAGTAGTTAAAATGAGCTGAAAGCAACAGTAAATGTGTGAACAAAGGCTTAATTATAGGTTTGCCTGAAGAATGACGCAGGGTAGCAAAAACCTAGAGATAAGACGGGAAGGGGGGTGTAGAATGTGGACTGCAAGGAATAGCCTTGACTTTTTGTTGTTGTTGTTCAGTCGCACAGTCGAGTCCGACTCTTCGCGACCCCATGGACCAGGCCTTCCTGTCTTCCGCTGTCCTCTGAAGTTTGCTCAACTTCATGTTCGTTGCATCGATGACACTGTCTAACCATCTCATCCGTTGCCGTCCCCGCCTTCCTTGACCTTCAATCTTTCCCAGCATCAGGGTCTTCTCCAGTGAGGGCTCCCTTCTCATTGGGTGGCCAAAGTATTTGAGCTTCAACTTCAGGATCTGGCCTTCCAGGGAACAGTCAGGGTTGATTTCTTTTAGGATTGACTGATTTGATCTTCTTGCAGTCCAAGGGACTCTCAAGAGTCTTCTCCAGCACCATAGTTCAAAAGAATCTATTCTTCGGTGCTCGGCCTTCCTTATAGTCCAACTCTCGCAGCCATACATGACTACTGGGAATACCATTGCTTTGACCATGCGGACTTTTGTTGGCAGGGTGATGTCTCTACTTTTTATCATGCTGTATAGGTTCAGACACTAATAAGTACGCATGCCTGATGACTTCATGAATATTATCTGTCACACCTTGAATGTTTAAACCGCTAATTAGAATGAACATACAATCCATGATGATGCATGATGATGGGGTGGGGGGACATGTCAAAGAGCTGGTGTGTTTTAGGCGGACGGAAAGAGCTGGGAGCTCTTATTACCCAGCCAAGGGGAACCGGGCAGGGCGGAGTCGGCTGAGAGAGGTGATAAATGGAGGTGGTTTGGAATGTTAATTTGAGTTCGCCTCCCGTCAGTGTGTAATAAAGTAATTAGATGGATATTCCTGATTGCGATTTCTTTTGTGGTTTTGTGTTCCTCCCTGGAGGGGCTGGGGAAAGGGTTACAAACCCTTTTCGTGTTTACCACACAACCCAGGAGGCGGCTTTCTTGGTGGTGGTGGCAAAACTCTGGAACTCTCTCTCAAGGGTCAT